AGACAAAAAGTAAAAGAATAGACCCTCTTTTTAGATCCTTTAGTTACTTTAGATCCAAAGCTTTTGCTTTTTTTTTTCTGTCTCAAATCCCCAAATTCGAAGCAGACCCACATCAAAGTTTTGAATTCTCTTTTCAATGGCTCTGGCATATTATTGATGTTAGATGGTGACAAAAGTGAAGTCTAAACTTTAGTTCTCTTACATCAATACCATGAGAATATGACATGCATTCTTTTTGTCTTTGAACCCATCAGAATCTTGAACAAGGTTTCTAAATGCTTCTTCTTAGATTTCGTGAGAATGTCACATGGAACAAGGGTTTGTGTAATGATTTCTTACTCTTTTTCTTTTTGGTGATGGTCCCTGCAACATGTCTGCTCTTCATCTTCAAAGTAACCTTCAATCATCCATAAACCAAAAACAAAAAAAATGCTTAAACAGTGTGAAAAGTAGATGCCATTACTTCATCACATACTGCCATGCTTTTTTGGCTTTGATTCGTTTATGCTTTCTCTTCTTTTTCTGCCTCGTTTCATCAGTTTCACACTTGTAAAAAAAAAAAAGACTAAAGTTCCATTGATTCACTAATAATCTCATGTGACTTTAATCTTTATCTTTTCATCCAAAGTTCATCAGATCAAATGATCAAATTCCTAAAGGTAATCCAAAATCTTCGAGTAGAGAGTTCCAACCTGATTCATTCTGTTGATGTAAACTGAAACTATTTTCCAATGGAGATCGCCTGAAAGGTCCAAGAGACAAGAAACAGACTTCACTTAATCTTAAACTTAGGAAAGAAAAACAGAAGAATGTCTAAGTAGTTTGTGTTGTGTTCTTTACCTTTGCGGGTGCGTTTGAGGAGTTCACACCCTCTGGCGAGCAATTCTCTGCTGCAAATCCCCAAGAAATTCTCCTCATTGATCAGTTCGTCACTGTGGCTACTTTTTGAGCTGCCATTGCCACCGTTACCGTTACCGTTGCCACCTGAACTCATTCCTTTATCCATTGGAATCACTGATGCTATATTCCACACTTCCTT